AAAAAATTAAAAAAAAAAAAGCAAACTCTTTGACTTCAAGAAAATAAAACAGGACAATAAATGATACAAGTGGGTACCGATATTGAGTCAATGCTGATTCAAATTTGGGACACAAGAAAATATGTCCAGCATTAATGTATATTCTAACTCAGAATAGCCTCAGGAAGCTGAGGCAAGAGGATTACGAAGGTCAGCTTTGCCAACCTGGTAAGACACTGCTTCAAAATAAGTCTTGATTTTTTTTTTTTTTTTGTTAGCACCAGGTATCAAACTCAGGACCTTACATTTGCCAGGTAGGCACTTATGATGCTGAGCTATCTCCCTGGCCCATCAAAATGAAGTTTTAAAAAGGGCTGACTTATCTAGCATGCATAAGGCCCTAGGTTCAATCCTCAGGACAACAAAATAAAACCAAAAACTGCTTAATTTTTCTGAAGGGGCAAAGGAAACTTTAATAAACTCAAAGTTTTACTTCAAATTTGGGAAAGAGGGCAATTTTCCCTTTCAAGCTGAATTTTGGGTTCATACCTTAAAGCAAGAGGCTCTATAAAGGAGCTGAACAACATGCCCAATGCTAGTTTTAGAGGCTTGAGGAAACCGTGGCTCCAACCTCTGCACCACAAAGAGAACCAATACTTTTCTTGACAAAGCAGAACCATCTTCTAAGGCCAGGAGAACCAGCTTTAGAGCTTCCTCTTGCATTGCTGGAATTTAGGCAAAACCAAAATTTAATACACTTTATCAGAAAAGGAACATAGAATCATTTCTGCAGATATCACACAATAGAAGATATTTAACAGCTACCATTTTTGTTGGTAATTTGGTCTTACAATGTATATATTTGATAAGTACATAAGTTATTCATGCCTTCATTTAAAAACTTCTCTCTGAATGAAGACTGTATTAAAAGAAAACAAATTTTCTCTAAAAAAAACCTAACAGAATAGTTTTTAAGCCAGAATTTTAAGTGGGATATGACTTGATAACAACAGAATTCACGAAGAACCAATCTTTGTACTTTACTTAGGAGTTCTTACACTATACTTTTAGAATTATTAATAAAATACTGAATTTTAATTATATACCTGGTCCAAGGAACTGACAGCCCCTAGCTCTGACTGCTGCCCAGAGATTGGAAGAGAGTTGCTGAGGATTCTGGTGCTGGAGAATGAGCTCTGTAACTGTTCGTTCACCTAAGGATCGAGCGGCTCTCATGGCACGAATTCTGCCTTCTTCCTCCACTAGTTGGCAGTGGACCAGAGTCACAAGCTTCCTTTGCATTGGGCGACTGAGAACACTCTGAGTAGTGCTATTCAGACCCACTCCTTTAGAAGAGAAGAAAGAAGTTACTTGTAGATTTATAATGTTAATTTTATAGTCCAAGAGCATGTCCTATGATGGGCTGATTGACTTGTGTGAGTGTGAACAGCTCTGGGTCCTACCAGAATACTTAAAAATAGAGTAAGTGAAGACTCAGTAGCAATTTTAAAAATATACAAACATATACATCTATCTGCTGTCAACATTCAAATACTATCATTTGGGCTGGGGAGATAGCTCAGTGGTTTAAGCACCTGTCTGGCAAGTGCAAGGTCCTGAGGTCTATCCCTGGTACCAAAAAAAGAAGAAAAAAGCAGTATCAAGTACTATTTCATGGGGGGGGGGGAATGGCCAGACAACATTAATAATTACTTTAAAACTCAAATCTTGAGGTTGTAACAGTTCTAATATATTATTTCATATTGGCTAATCTTTTATAATATTAAGTGCTTTCTGGGAAAGGATGGCAACTTCCATTTTTATTACAATACATCTGCTAACACACCATGTACAACTAGGTAAGAGACTATACAGAACTGTCATATGACAAAGGACAGAAAGCTCAGGGTTCAATCCCTATCCTGCATGCCGCAGTGTCCCCAGGGCACACTGAGCCAGCAAGTCCAGGCATGGGGGCACACACCTGTAATCCCAGTGCTGGGGAGGCTGAAAACAGGAGGATAACTACGAGTCTGAGCTGTGTAGTGAGACCAGGTACCAAATACATACAAATTGGTGGGGGGAGGGAGAAGAAGAAAAGAAAAAGACAAGGACAGAAAGCCTTTGTGAAACACTAAGGCTCTTTTTCTTTTTTTGAAAGACAGGGTCTCACTCTGTAGCTCAGGTTGGTCTTACACAACTCAGTATATAGCCCAGGCTGGCCTCAAATTCCTCCTTCCTCAGCCTGGAATTACAGATGTGCACCTCCATACCTGCGTACTTATACTTACTTTTGCCATCAATTCAAATAATGCTTCCAACATCACACCAACTCTAAATTCACTACTTTATCTGATGTAGTAATATTACTTAGCATGAAGTGGGTTTGGTTCACAATAAATGAATCTCATCAGCACTCAAATATAGCTCACAGCTTCAGTGGTAATGGAAGTGTCTGCTTAGCAAGGATAAGTGTATCCAGTTTACCTCTAGCACTGCTGAGTGGTTTCAGGTACAATGCTAATTCTTCTACACATTTCTTGGCTTCCTCATAATGTTTTGTATCTTCAACACCACTACACAATGTAATGGGCTGCTGCTCAGGGACCTAGAGGCCAAAAGAAAAGGTCTGACTGTACATTAAACAAATGAGTTAATGAGTATAGTTTATGTACTGCTAACACTAACAACAGGGAAACTACTAACTTTACTTATGCTTCCAAAAGACCTTCTTTATAAACAACACATCTTTGAATTGGGAATTGAACTACTGAGCTACAGCACTGTTTTATTTTGAGACAAGGTCTCATTAAGTTGCTCAGGCAGAGCTCAAACTTTTCATCCTCCTGCCTGTGCCTCCTGAATAGTTGGGATTGCAGGCATGTGGCACCAAGGCTGACTATATTGCCTTACTTTGTTTCTATAACAGCCTTAAGGAGAGATAATCTACATACTACATGATAGGCTGGTTTAAAGTATGCAAATCAATTATTTTTTAATACCTTCACATCTGAATAACCATCACAATAAACTTTAAATGGTGGCAGTGGGGGATGGAGGGTGTTGGGGGAGGCATGAGGATTAAAAACAGGGTCTTTGCATTAAACAATACCCCCCAGACCCATGAGACAAATCTGACTAAGGTGACAATCTGGGATCAACCTTATGATCCTCCTGCCTCTGTCTATTTTCATCACCCCCCAAAAAAATCTTTCGTCTTATCAGTCTTTTCATCATTTCCTTCCCATCTTCTACCATCCCCAAGGAAAAAAATGATCATTTTTTATTGTTTTATGGATTTGTCTAATTTGGACTGAAATAATAGAATCTTACAAGGCACGGTCTTTTCTGATTGGCTTCTTTCATTGGCCATATTTTCAAGGACTGCTAGCCTATAGCATTCATCAGTACTTCATTTATTTTTACCCCTGAACAGCATTCTACTGTACACATGTCAAACATTTTATTTATGTAGGGAAAAACTGGCAGACATCTGGGTTTTTTAGTTTTGACTAGTACCATATCAATAATGAACATTTATGTACAAGTTTTTATATAACATGTTTTTGTTTCCCTTGGGCATACATACCTAGGAGTATTAACTTTCTGAAAATCAGACTATTTTCCAAAATTGGAGCATCATTTTATAGTATTTACTATATCCTTCCTAATATTATTATTGTATCAATTCTAGTAGGTCAAAAGTAGTATCTCATTGTAGATTTTCCTGAACATTTTTTTTTTCTCTGTGAATCAAATCCAGGACCTTGTGTAATCTAGTTTTACCTTAAATTTTTAAAAAATGGTTATATATATTTATGGGGCACAACACAAATATTTATGGGGCACAACACAAATGGGGCACAACACTTGCCTGGCAGGTGCTTAGACCACTGAGCTATCTCCCCAGCCTGAAACAGTGAATTTTTTAATGTATCTGAAATGATAGAATATAATAATTTATCTGAAATTCTGTATGATATAGCTTTCTCCTTCATTTAATCAATTATATTTTATCTATATGGATTCTGGTACACTTCTTTATATTTTGGGTTACATATCATTCCATACAATCCTATTCATTTTACTTGAACTCTTTCAGCTTTGGCCACTGAGAAAATTTTCAACTGGTTCATTTATGCTTTTGACATAAACCATGTCACTGTGAGCATTCCTTACTTTCTAGTACTGTAAGGTACTCCAGGCTCATCTTGAATACTTCCTGACCTAGTGCTACAATTAGCTTTTAAAGTGGGGGAGAGATAGCTCAGTAGAATAAGAGCTTCCCCAGAAAGTTCAAGGGCCTGAGTTCAATCCCTGATTTGGCAAAAAACAAACAAACAAACAAAAAAACTCGTTCCTTTCACTGGAAAAACTAAAATCTTAACACTAGGTATGTACACTACATTTGGGGCATTATGTCTTCTAACCCATCTTGACTGAAATATGCATATACAAATACAG